AGAGCCGTGACAGGATCGAGAGGTCAGCGAACCTGGTATGTGTTTGCTCACCTCCCGATCTACTGAGCCGACCTGTGACAGTCTCATTGTCACAGGTCGGCTAGAACTATGAGGTGAGTGGAAATCACTCATCTCATAGTTCTCCTTTAAGCTTCATCATGGGAGCATCAAGCATTACTCAGTAGTGCGCAACCAGTCCATGGCTTGTTCTGGAGGGGTAAAGAAAGACATGTTTCCATTGCCAAGGGCGCCCAACCTTGCAGGACAGGCTATATAGTATACACGGCTCGTGACTGTGCTATACACAAGAGAAACAACACCACAGGGGGTCAGTTGGGGGGTAAGTCTGGGGATCCAGTCGTTCTGCAGGACAGCACAGGATTCTGAAGGCTTAAGCAGGAGCTTTCTAGTACGGCTATTTATCACAGCACTCTCCTCCCCGCAACGCTCGGCCTCCTGAACATTTTGTCTCCTACCCGCAGGATGCTGCGCTGTGTCAGAGCGGACACAGAGCAGCGCCCATCGGGGAGGAGAGAGACCAGGCATGCTCCACAATTTCGGTCGAAAGATGGCACTTTTGGCATTTTACCCAAAGTACCATTTTCGTCCGATATGTTTTTCGGCGGACAAACATTTCGGTGCATCCTTATTAAAAATACGTAAATGCTTTAAATAGCATGCTTGGCGGATGCTTTAAACTGCACATGTAGTTGTGCACCAGTACAATGTGCAATCCCTAGAAAAAGACATTAGAACAAGAAGAGAAAACCTACTGCAACGAAACGACCGTTCCCCACTGACTTTGTTCTGTTTGTAAAAGGGTCAGCTATGGATTTTGAGGGGGACTCCATTCTTTTTTCCTAAAAGGGACAGTACACAGTGTTTATAAAAAATATGGCATGCCCCCTCCCCTGTCTATGCTAGATGGTTACCCAGACATGCCGTCTGGCTGGCCAGGAAAAGGGGGGGGGTAGCGGGTCTGACCCCCCCTCCTGAACCATACCAGGCCTCATACACTCAACTTTGGGAGTGTACCTTGCAAGAAGAGCACCTTGTTACTATGTTGATGTGGACTAGGGTCTCATGCCCACATCCCTAGCTCTGTAGATGTGGGAGGGGGGTCGGCCGGGGGATGACTTATTGGAATGTGAAAGCCCTTTAAATGAAGGATGCCTCTAGACATCTAGCTCCCCCTAGGTGTGAATGGATGCCAGGTACATAGTACCCCTTATTACTCATTCACAAATATATATATACATTTTTGTGCAGCATCATCAAAAACGATGAGTGATGCCACCACCATCACAAATGGCTGTCCTCTGCCGGCTATTGAACGTCAACAAACCAGCCGGGGACGCTGGGTGATGCCGCTGACCAAATTTCCTCTCCAGCTTCTTTCCACTAAAACAAGCCAATGGGAAGCAAGCATTTAGTGGAGGTAGTGATACAAGTTGCTGAATGAATTTCGGCTGGGCAGACGAACCTGCCAAATCTAGACATTTTCTTCGCCCGTTCACCAGGCTGGGTTCGGGATGAATCCAAAGCTAATCCCCTATTCCTATAAATAAAGAAAATAGATCTCAATGAACCACATATTTATCTTTCTCCAGGTTAGGTATTACCACCACGATGGCCCCAGTCATAGATGATGGGAGTGCCCCCTATTTATCTTTCTCCAGGTTAGGTATTACCACCACGATGGCCCCAGTCATAGATGATGGGAGTGCCCCCTATTTATCTTTCTCCAGGTTAGGTATTACCACTACGATAGCCCCAGTCATAGATGATGGGAGTGCCCCCTATTTATCTTTCTCCAGGTTAGGTATTACCACTACGATAGCCCCAGTCATAGATGATGGGAGTGCCCCCTATTTATCTTTCTCCAGGTTAGGTATTACCACCATGATGGCCCGTCATGGATGATGGGAGCGCTCCCTGTTTCATATGCCTCCTGAACAACCTTCAGGAGTGTGGGGGGCTAAGTAGTCCTATGGGCTTTGTAACCCATCCAGAACAGGGGTTGTTAGCCAGGAAGGTTGTGATTCCTCCACTCAGATAGGGGAGTCTAAATCGGGTTACTAAGCCGTCGGCATTTTGGGAGGTAAGCAGTCATTGAGCACAGTGTACGGTATAAAAACATCCTGTACAGCTCCACTATATCATTAAAGGATCGCACAAAGGACCAGGAAATAAAAATCCGCCCACTGACGACTAGAGAGGAGTCTGGGCTTGGTGCGAACCCAGTTAGCCCAGACTTCAACCCGGACATGGAAAACGGCAATTGGCAATCACCCAAGTAGGGGGGTCAGTCAATACACCAACATGGTTCGTAATGCCTCTAGTTTGCTACGTTGCGCCCTCTGCTATGTCGCAGTGTTACTGTTGTATGTGGACTGTAGTCGGTCTGAATGCTGAGATCTGCAGCTTTCCCCAAGTCTGATGGATTATTTCCCCCTGTTGCTGGGCTGGGGCCTCAGCATACACTATGGGAGTATGAGTATGCATCTGACTCTGACAAATGCCTGAGCAGGCTGACTCAGAGGTATGGCTGGAGGAAGGTGATAAATATGCGGGAACACCTTCCAGAAGTCTCTCTCTCTCCCCTGGAGGAGGTCTGTGGGCTGCAAGATGCCTGGCCTAGGCCTCAGCGTGTGGCAGATGCTGGGGGCCTAAGATGTTACTGAGAAGAAATAATGGATGCTGGGCTGGAGGAAGAATCTGCTTATTAAAGAGTGTCGCAGAGGAGCTGCCGTCTGGACCCTGTAAGAGATCCCTCGCCCTTTATTCAGATACTATACGGAAGAGAAGCCAGTTGGTGCACTGCAAGTATGGTGACTGTTCTTCTTCAGAGCCTTGGATTGTTCCTGGCTGTTGTCTGACAGTCTATTCTGGTCGCCCTCATAGGACCTTTTGCTACTGGTGAAGACACTCTCCTCTCTTTTGTTACTCGGGTATCCTGTAACCCTCACCCTCTCTCCGAGTTGATACTGAGCAATAAATACTAAAAAGACCCTACGACTCCTCGAGCCTGTTCTATCCCAAAAGTCTTTGTATTGATGGAGCGAAGGAAAAGGGCCGTGGCCGGTGAACCAAATTCATATCCAGCTTCTTCATAGGGGGTGAACGCTACACAAGGAAGCAACATTACTTTTTCTTCCCCCAAATATTTGTGAAAATTTACAGCACGTGCAGATTGAAACGAGAATCTTGTTTTTTATTAACATCACATTCATTATTGAATTACAAAATGATATCTATATATATATATATATATATATTTCAATATTTTGGCAAAAATTGATTTTTCCCATCAGGACTTTCCCATTGTGTGGTTCATCTCATTTAACATTAGATTTAATCTCTTGTGGGCTTCCATGTGTGAACTCAGATTCGATTTGCTTCTAAAACACCTCCCGCATTCAGAACAGGAATGCCAGACGTATCGGACGTCCTTCGTGTGAGTCTTTTGATGTTTCAGGAGACTTGATTTTTGGCCGAAACATTTCCCGCACGTAGGACACGGGTATGGCTTCTCCCCCGTATGAACTCTTTCGTGGATGCTCAGGGCCGATCTTCGGTAAAAGCTTTCGCCGCAGTCGGAGCAAGTGAACGGCTTCAACCCCGTGTGAGTTTTCTGGTGACTGTTCAGATTCGATACGCTAGTGAAACATTTCCCGCACTCTGAACACGAATATGGCTTCTCCCCGGTGTGAGTGGCGTGGTGTCTGGCCAGGTACGACTTTTTGGTAAAACATTTGCCGCATTCGGAGCACGAGTACGGCTTTTCACCGGTGTGAACCCTCTGGTGTTCGATAAGGAAATGTTTAAGAGGGAAGCTTTTTCCACATTCCGAACATTTGTACGGCTTCTCCCCTTTGTGACCTTTCTGGTGTATGAGAAGGTTGTATCTCCGGGTGAAACCCTTCCCGCATTCCGAGCAGGAATAGGGCTTCTCCCCTTTGTGGATCATCTTGTGTTTGGTGAGATCGGAGTTGAGTGAAAAACGGCGTCCGCATTCGGAACAGGAGTACGGCTTCTCCCCCGTGTGAGTTCTCTTGTGTTTGGTGAGATCGGAGGTGAAAGAAAAACATTTCCCACATTCGGGACACGGGTAAGGTTTCTCCCCTCGGTGACCTTTCAGGTGTATGTTAAGATTGTATCTCCGAGTAAAACTCTTCTCGCATTCGGAACACGAATAGGGTTTCTCTACTTCGGGACCTGTCTGCTCTGACGTGGGGTCTACCTTATCGGCAACAGATTCATCAAGCTCCCGGTGGTCGCCGCCTGGACTATCAGGAAAGCCCCACCCGTGTGTAGAGGGATTCGTTGATGGATCTGATCCGTGAGGTACGGGATGAAGTTTTGGGGTGATGGGGATTTCCTCAGAAGAGTTGGATGTGATGTCCTCATCTTCGGCCAAATCGGATGTGAAGTCTTCTTCGGATGGTGGGGCGTCGTCTGTATCACACTTCCTGTACTGGCCATCTGCAGGTACAAAAAAAAGCTTAACCACTTGCTGACCGCGGTGTTACGCCCCCTTCCTGTCCCGGCGCTGCGGTACTTTGACTGACATTTTTTCCGTCATGCAACGCTGTACTGAAATGACTTTTATACCATTTTTGGGGACAGATAGAGCTTTCTTTTGGTGGTATTTAATCACCATTAGGGGAGGGGGGTGTTTATTTTTTATTATACAACATAAAAAGTACCCTACATTTTGAAAAATAAAACTGTTTTCCTTATGAAATGTAATGAAACATTTATTATCACCCCAATTTTTTTGATAAAATATACAAGTCGGGGTCACGTCGGGTAAATAGACACCAAACAAGACTTAAAATTGGCAGAAAACGACCACACCCAAAATTGGCCATAGGCGACGCTTTAACCGCTCATCAATTTAGTGTTATCAGTGATTGATAGCCCTAGAATTATTGCTCTCGCTCCGACGTTCGCGGCGATATGTAACATGTGCGGCACAATGGGCGGAATCGTTGTTTTTGCACGTAGGTGCACCCGACGCATGTTTGCGTGTGGGGGGTTTGCGTGTGTTATTTTACATTTTTTTATTTGAGACTTTTTTTTAACTTCTTTATTTTTTTTTATGCTTTAATTTTTTTTTTTACCCTTAACTTTTTTGCTATCACATAGGGGGGCTAAGAAATCCACTATGTGTTAGCCAAGTCACATGACAGGTCCTCTTTATGAAGACATCAGGGGTCTCTAAGACCCCGAATGTCACCTAGGGACCCCCCAGAGAAGCTGATGAAGCAGCTTCATCAGCTTCTCACGACATCTGTAACCAGAGAGTGACACTGAATGCAGGAAGTGATGTAATATACATCACTTCCTGCATTCGGGGACTGGAGAGTCGATCAAAGGGAGATCGTGTACTGAACTCCCTTTGATCTCCACTGACAGGGTCGCCGTGACGGTCCTGGCCTCACCGGGCACAGGGGATCTTGGGCCCGGCAGCAGCAGCGGCGGTGGACACCCGCACCTACTACAAGCGATGGGGCGTCTCTAGAGACGCCCCATCGCTTGTATTAGCAGCAGCTGTCACTGCCGTTGCCGGTTCCGAGATCCGATGTGCTCGGTGCAGCCGGGACCGGCACGGCTGCTCTGTGACAGGAGATCAAGGGGATATCAGTACACGATCTCCCTCTGACCTCCTCTCTATCCCCGAATAAATCACTGGCTGTTGCGCTGAGCACGAGCGGGGGGAGGGGAAGGACATCTTAAGACGCCCTCCCGCTCCTATAAGGCTCCCGTCCGGCCGTTCAGAAACGACCATGGACGACAAGTGGTTAATGCAATAGCAAATGTGTTGCAGCTATTCTGCGAGAGATGCCACCTGTCCGGTGAAACTTCACTCTCTGGAAGAGTTCCCTGGTACCAATACGTGGCGCTGCTTCTAGGAGTATGGAACGGCATGTCCCCGAGGGTCGTTGTTGCTCTGCCTGCTGACCCTAGATCAAAAATGTGTCCTATACCGGAGGGGCGGACCTTGGAGGGGAGGATGGACGAGCAGGCTGCTATACAAGTCATCCGGGCGGGTCACTTGCACAAGCAGCCCGTACCTATTTCAAGCCCTGTCATACTTGTATCGGTAGAGGGACATCCCTACTGAACACCATTGCCCGGAATGTGTTGACTCTATATAATTTATAAACATGTTAGAAAGTGAAGGGTTTATAGCCGGATGGATGCCGTTCATATGGCACTAGCCCCCCTAGATGGCTCTGAGGAGTATAGAATGGACCTCCTAATTTCCTGGCTGGAGAACCTCCAGCATCATCTAGTCTTTCTTCCCCAGCCTTGCTGTCCATGGCTCGCTCCTTGCATTCATTGGATTTCAATGACGGAGGCTCAGCATCACATGTGGGTGTTACCTAGGGTGGGATGTATGCAAATGCACCTGCCTAAGGACACCCCCTCTCCTCCAGACTGATACCAACCCATCAAGGCCTGATACTACTTCCATGGCTCCTCTCAAGAGCCAGCACCTTGCTTGCATCAGGGTCAAGGGTTCTTAAGAGGTGTACCGAGATGCCTTCAGGAAGTGATTGACCTGCATTGCACAGACTAGCACAGAGACCCAGACATGATGTCACCGGGTCTAAAACAAGGTATGAAATAAAATAAAAAACTGAAAAGGTTTTTATTGGAAATGTCATTAGCCCGTCCACAAGGGAGGAACCAGGGAAGGGGAACAGGAGTAGATTAAAATTCAGCATTAACAACCTACTTCTACAAACATCTGAGCTATCGATGCTTCAAGCGGCTCCGCTGAAAACGTTTGTATGATGACTCCCATACCAGGTATAAAAAAATAAGAATAATCTCTGACTTTTCTGAATTTTGTGTTAATTACGTACCCATGCCGATCTCTATAGCAATCTTCTCCTGTTTCATCGCCTCCTCCTCAGCTTTGATATTTATTTCAGTTGCTCTGATGTCGTCCAGATCTGTCAATAGAGATGAGAGTGAAGCCCCCTGTACTGAGATGTATGAGAGACCCCAGAGAGTGCGTGTGGCTGATGGCTCCTGACTCCCCCCACTAGACACATTGCGTCCCACCATTATTACTGACAGAGGTGGGGGGAAAACAAGAGATTGATGCCCCCTGTACTGAGATGTATGAGAGACCCCAGAGAGGGTGTGTGGGGGGAGACTGGTCACGTCTCTTGGCTGGTAACACACAATGACATGATGTGAGGAAGGGAGCCGGAGTCTAATAGAGGCTGATGGCTCCTGACTCCCCCCACTAGACACATTCCGTCCCCCCATTACTGTCTACTGACAGAGGAGGGGGGAGAAGAAGAGATTGTTGTAATGACTGAACAAGGAGAATCTGGGACTCTTCTCTGGATTTACTGTTTATGACTCACCTGTGCTGATCTCTACAGGAATTTCCTCCTCTTTAATCCTTACATGTTCTTCTTCTTCCTCAGCTTTGATATTTCTTTCAGTAGCTCTGATGTCTTCGGGGTCTGTGAATAAAGATGAGAGTGAAGCCCCCTGTACTGAGATGTATGAGAGACCCCAGAGAGTGTGTGTGGGGTGGAGACTGGTCACGTCTCCTGGCTGGAAAGACACAATGACATAATGTGAGGAGGAGAGCCGGAGTCTAATAGAGGCTGATGGCTCCTGACTCCCCCCACTAGACACATTCCGTCCCCCCATTACTGTCTACTGACAGAGGAGGGGGGAGAAGAGGAGATTGTTGACTGAACAAAGATAATCTGGGACTCTTCTCTGGGTTTAGGGTTTTTTTTACTCACCTGTGCTGATCTCTGGAGAACATTCCTCCTCCTTACATTGATCATCAACCCTCATCGGTTTCTCTTCTTCTTCAACTTTAACAACAATCAGGCCTTCAACCTACACAATATACAACACAACATATTTATCGGAGTGATTGATTAATGATGAAACTCAGTTATGTCAGTTTTAGTCAAAACCAACCTCTACATGATCCTCCTGAGGGATCTCATGATGTTCCTCCATGGAATACAGAGGACGGGCCTGAGGGATCTCATGATGTTCCTCCATGGAATACAGAGGACGGGCCTGAGGGATCTCATGATGTTCCTGTGTGGAATCCCGGGAATACAGAGGACGGGCCTGAGGGATCTCATGTTCCTGTGTGGAATCCCGGGAATACAGAGGACGGGGACATCTCTCTGGGGTATTTCTGTTCCTGGATCCATCTGTAGGAAACACACACACTGATTGAATACATTGTTTCTATGTCTTTATATCAGAGGATGTGTATCTAGGGGGATCCTCAATACTCAAGACATGAAAGTCTCCTCTTACCGGGTGATGTCAGTAATGGATGGTACTCCATTATGATGTCCTTGTAGAGATCCTTGCGTCCGTCTCAATGTTCCTTCGCTATATATAAGTACTTGAAAAGATGCAATAAGATGACACTGCAATATATAAATAACACCGCAATCGAGGTTAAATATACGGCTCTCCGTATTGAAGGGATGACGTCACCATCATTCCAATGAGATCCCAAGGAATGCTGAGCAGTCCACATCTTGCAACACGGCACTCAAGCACAGTGCAGAATAGGCAATCACACCCGATGTCCATATTTCTGTTACCCAAGCTGTTCTGGAATTATACTTTTTTTTTTTTAAAGCTGGCAACCGTGAAAGTCCAACAGCTCTGGTAATCAATACTTTATCTCCAGAAGTGTCAAGGGAGACTTTTTACATTGGCCACCATGCAGTTCACACAGCCAAACCCCTGCCAGGGCACAGGGGGGTTTCCAGCACAGTCATCAGGTGGCCCTACAAATAATTATTTCAGTTGGAGAGATGGGTAGATGGCATTGGATCCCCAAAGTGATTCTACTTTTACAATATGGTGTGGAGTTGGTGGCTTGTTTTAACACTGGGCAGCCAGCTCTCATATGAAGAGGGGCTTCCAAGACTGCTACAGCCTGAGAGCCGCATAGCCCACCTGAGAGCTGCATTTCCCACCTCAGAGCTGCATAGCCCACCTGAGAGTCGCATAGCCCACCTAGATCATGAAACTTAATGTCAACCTGGATCAGGGAACCCGACGTCAACCTGGATCAGGGAACCCGACGTCAACCTGGATCAGGGAACCCGACGTCAACCTGGATCAGGGAACCCGACGTCAACCTGGATCAGGGAACCCGACGTCAACCTGGATCAGGGAACCCGACGTCAACCTGGATCAGGGAACCCGACGTCAACCTGGATCAGGGAACCCGACTTCAACCTGGATCAGGGAACCCGGCGTCAACCTGGATCAGGGAACCCGACGTCAACCTGGATCAGGGAACCCGACGTCAACCTGGATCAGGGAACCCGACGTCAACCTGATTAATGCGCCTCCCCTGATCTTATGCTGTGCTGCTTCCCCTTATCCCATCAAATGACCTCAATATGCAGAGGTAAAAATGTTTGTAGATGGATCATACCATCTACATCTACATCAAGTGCTGGAGCTGAAAGCGAATCTATTCCCCGATGATAGGGTTGATTCTATGGTATCAAGATGCAGCTTTCTAAAGAATACGTCCCCAGAACCATCATCCCCAGCAGAGCTCACCATCTTATGTCCTACACATCACAGGACTTGCAGGAAGATGATGATTTGTTGGGGTGACATGATTCCCCCCATCTAGTCCACAGAGAGTGCTGGGGCCCCCTTCTCTCTTCCTTATCTGTCAAAAATAGGAAACCATTACCTCTTCCGAGTCCTCAACAGTCTTCAGCCTCAAACACATAACAGGAAGATTCTTAAAACTATCAAAACTCTTCCTATTCCGGGCTACAAGAAAATGGCCGCCTCCATCATTGAGCTCTTTTCGTTTAATTCAAGAAAAAAAATATATATCACCAAATGCATAAAAATTAATAATAATAATAATAATACTTTTTAATTTTGTTACCGTTTATAATAATTATCTCAAACCTATTCATGGCTACACTAACGGAAAACGGCCGCCCCTTCTTCTCCATGGAGACAGTGTTTGGTAGAAGCTTTGCCCTCTAGCAGTCGCTCTGTTCACACAGCCCAGAGGGCGGGGTTTTCCTTATAAGGTAGTGCTGATCCCTCAGCACCTTCCCTGGCTGCCCAGCTGTGTCTGGTTGCTATGGTGACGCGCACGCGCAGAGGGAAGGAGAAGTCAGTCAGGGAGGGCGGCAGCCATTTTGTTGCAGCTCAAGTGGGAAACCTAGCAGAGTTCTCTTCTTGTTATCGTGCAGCTTCTGGTGGGGCTGGAGATTGTGTGTCCAGTGAGGAGCAGGTAATAATATCTTCTTATTATGATAGAAGGGGGTCCCAGTACTCTCTGTGGAATGGATGGGGGGTCATGTCACCTCAACAAGCCATCATCTTCCAGCAAGTCCTCTGAGGTGCAGAACTATGGAGCTGGGGGCCTATTTCCCAGAAAGTCATGTCCTGCATATTACAGATGAGGAACCAAATTGCAAGTTCTGAGGCAATAAATGAAGGGGCTGGTGGGGTTGGAGGTCACAATATACAGCTGTGATGAAAACCCTTTGTTTAGTTTTAGGTTTATGAAGCCTTGTCCAGGTTACGTGAGGCCACCCGTGTGGACGTGACTCCTCCCTGATGTGGGACTAAAGAGTCAGAACTTTGAGGTGGACCTGCCTTGTCCTACAATGTTCCTGAGGTGTGGTGCCTTTATTAGGCTTCACCTTGACCCCCTTAGTCTAAGGAGAACTTCTTACATCCCAGACAAAGACCTTTCATGGACACTCGACTTCTACGATAGTGTGGTTACCTTGTGGTGCTTCTATAAGGCTTCACCTTCACCCCCTTAGTCCAAGTTGAGCTTCTTACATCCCAGACAAAGAACTTTCATGGAGCCCTGACTTCTACGATAGTGTGGTCACCTTGTGGTGCCTCTATTAGACTTTACCTCCTTAGTCCAAGGAGAGCTTCATACATCCCAGACAAAGACCTTTCATGGACCCTCGACTTCTACAATAGTGTGGTCACCTTGTGGTGCCTCTATCAGGCTTCACCTTCACCCCCTTAGTCCAAGGAGAGCTTCTTACATCCCAGACAAAGACCTTTAATGGAACCTCGACTTCTACGATAGTGTGGTCACCTTGTGGTGCTTCTATCAGGCTTCACCTTGACCCCCTTAGTCTAAGTAGAGCATCTTACATCCCAGACAAAGATCTTTCATGGAGCCTCGACTTCTACGATAGTGTGGTCACCTTGTGGTGCCTCTATTAGGCTTTACCTTGAGCCCCTTAGTCCAAGAAGAGCTTCTCACATCCAAGACAAAGACCTTTCAGACCATTGCGTGCTTCCAACCTTGCAACAACCGCTTGGTGGAGGTCCTTTTCTGTTCCAGCATGACGGTTCCCCTGTGCATAAAGCCAGCTCCATAAAGACATGGTTTGTTTAGTATAGTGTGGAGGAACTGAAAAGGCCTGCACATAGCCATGACCTCAACCCGACTGAACACCTATGGAACGCCGACCGCGAGCCAGGTCTTTTCATCCAACGTCGGCACCCGAACTCACAAATGCTCTTTTGGCTGAATGAGCACAAACTCCAACAGACGCACTCCAACATTTTGTGGAAAGTCTTCCCAGAAGATTGGAAATTGGTAAAGCCACAAGAAGGAGGCAACTTTATATCATTTGTCATGGTTTGAGGATGTGTTGTCCAACAAGCTCGTATAGGCGTGATGATCAGGTGTCCACCACAAACTTGAGGCAATATATTGTATACACTCTTCCTTTTGGACAGTATGTGAAATTGTTAGAACGTCAGGCAAATTGCAATGTTTGAAGGCCTTGAATAGAGTAGTGTTGTTCTAAAGACAAAAGTGTACACGGGGATGTATAATATATATTGTTTGTTTTACAGACATGTTTTTAAGGTTTATTGTGATGTTATTAGACTGGAGTAAAAGCAAGAGGAGTGGAAGCATTTAGAAGGCTGCACAGATCTCTACGAGGACATCCTAATGGACAAGCGGCCGCCCCTCACATCACCGGGTAAGAGGAGACTTTCATTTCTTGAGTATTGAGGATCCCCCTAGATACACACATCCTCTGATATAAAGACATAGAGACAATGTATTCAGTCAGTGTGTGTGTTTCCTACAGATGGATCCAGGAACAGAAATACCCCAGAGAGATGTCCCCGTCCTCTGTATTCCCGGGATTCCACACAGGAACATCAGGAGATCCCTCAGACCCGTCCTCTGTATTCCCAGGACTCCACACAGGAACATCATGAGATCCCTCAGGCCCGTCCTCTATATTCCCGGGATTCCACACAGGAACATCAGGAGATCCCTCAGGATGATCAGGTAGATGGCATTGAGGTCCTTTACAATACTTTGTATTAGGTAAATATTTGTTTAGCGGATCACATGTCATACATTTGTATTTTTAAGGGTGAAACTCCCATCAAAGTTGAAGTTAAAGAAGAAGCTGAGGAGACATATTTGAGGAATGACAATCTATGTAAGGAGGAGGAACGTTCTCCAGAGATCAGCACAGGTGAGTAATAAACACTAAACCCAGAGAAAAGTCCCAGAGTCTCCTTGTTCAGTCACTACAACAATCTCTTCTTCTCCCCCCTCCTCTGTCAGTAGACAGTAATGGGGGGACGGAATGTGTCTAGTGGGGGGAGTCAGGAGCCATCAGCTTCTGATACACCCCGGCACTTCTCACATCATGACGTGTTCATTCTTCCCCCACACACACTCTCTGGGGTCTCTCATGCATTTCAGAGGACTTCACAGTTATCTTTATTTACAGACCCCGGAGACACCAGAACCTCCCAGAGAAACATCAAAACTGAGGAGGAGGAAGAACATGGTCTGAAAATTAAAGAGGAAGACATTCCTTTAGAGATCAGCACAGGTGAGTGTAACACTTACACCATAGTTCTCTTTTAGGTAGAAGCTGCTGGACTTGTATTGCTCCCACTCTGCCTCCATATGAGGGATTGTGGGGAGACCGGACAAAGATGTTTCCGGAAGTTCTCTTAGCAGAATATTAAAATGCATTTTATTGAGCGATTTAACTGAACATCAGGTTGTTCTTGGAGTAATTTTCTTCTGTCTTCCTGTGTCCTTATTTCCCCAAGATGGCCGATACAGACAGTACAGCCTAGACGAACGTACCAATATCTCTTTAGCCGGTGTCCTAGAAGACGATGACATCACATCCGATTCTTCCGAAGAAAACACCATTGCCCCAAAACTCCTTCCAGTATTTCACAGCGTCGCTGTACCACCCAGTCCGTCTACACATAGGGCTCCATCTGCTGCAAACTCACTCCCTGACACCGGGGAGGGCGGCGAATCTTCTACCCAAGGAGCCAAACCCGTGTCAAATAAGAGAAGTCGCAAGGGGGAAAAGCCGTTTTCGTGTTCAGAGTGTGGGAAATGTTTCCCCCGGAGAAGCCACCTGCTTTCTCATCAGATGAGTCACACGGGAGAGAAGCCATTTTCATGTCCGGAATGTGAGAAATGCTTTTCCTATAGATCCGGTCTTCTTCTGCACCGCAGGACTCACATAGAGGTGAAGCCTTATTCGTGTTCCGTGTGCGGGAGGGCTTTTACCCGCAGGTGGATTCTTCTTGAACATGAGAACACCCACACAGGCGTGAAGCCTTATTCCTGTACTGAATGCGGAAAGTCTTTCTCTCAGAAACAACGGCTGACTTGGCACCAGGGAACTCACTCGTCCGAAAAGCCTTTCCCGTGTGCTGAATGTGGAAAACGTTTCACCCACAGAGCACTTCTTGCTACCCATCAGAGGACTCACACCGGGGCGAAACCTTATTCATGCGCTGAGTGCGGGAAGTGTTTCCCTTCTAAGCATCACCTAGTTCTTCACCAGCGAGCTCACACGGGAGAGAAGCCGTTTTCATGTTCAGAGTGTGGAAAATCCTATATCAAGAGAGGAGACCTCACTTGCCATCAAATGACTCACACAGGGGAGAAGCCTTATTCGTGCTCGGAATGCGGGAAAAGTTTTGCCAAGAGGTCACATCTTGTTAATCACCAGAGAACTCACACCGGCGTAAAGCCTTACTCGTGCTCCGAATGTGGGAAATGTTTCGCTAAAAAGTCCTATCTTACCGTCCACCAGACAACGCACACAGGGGTGAAGCCGTTCTCTTGTTCCGAATGCGGCGAGAGTTTTTTCTGGAAAATCTCTCTCACCAGACACGAAAAAGTCCATACGGGGCAAGAGTTGCACTCCTGTTCAGAGTGCGGAAAATGTTTCACCGACCGATCCATTCTCATTGAGCATCAAAGAATCCACACGGGGGAAAAGCCCTATTCCTGTTCGGAATGCGGGAAGTGTTTCTCTCGGTGCTCCAGTCTTATCGTACATCAGAGGACTCACACGGGCGAGAAGCCTTATGCGTGTTCTGAGTGCGGGAAATGCTTTGCGTCGAGAATGTATCTGACTAAACATCAACGAACCCACTCGGGGGTGAAGCCATTTTCCTGTTCCAAGTGCAGTAAAAGTTTCCACTTTAAGTCGTATCTCAACAGACATGAAAAAGTTCACGCGGAACAATCATGAACTAGAACTTCATGTCACAGTGGTGTAGGGGTTAGCACTTCTACACTGGGGGGTCCCTGGTTCGTATCCCGGCCAGGTCACTGTCTACAAGGAGTTTGCATGTCCTCCCTGTGCTTGCCTGGGTTTCCTCCCACACTCCAAAGACGTGCTGCTAAGTAAATTGGCCCTCGTATGTGAGATAGGGCCCCTAGTCACATCATAATCAAGTCCATTGTGGATCTCCGGCTGAGACTTTGCTTTGCATAGAGCAAAGTAAGAGGAACTTCCCCAGACAGCAACACCTGACGGAGGTCCTAACCCGCCCCCAATCTCACAACACGCAAGGATATCATTGCTGGCCGTGCCCCCGTTCGAGATTTTCTTTCTCTTCCTGTCATGCTGGAGGCTCTAACCTTTGCTTGCTGGATGAGATGGACCTCCATTTTGTTTTCGTTACAGTCCCAATGTGGGATACTGGGGGGGGGGTTCTTTTTTTCAGCGCTCCGCACTTTTGATACCGATCAACAGAACAGCAAGTCGCCAGCACTCCGGCGCTTCCTCAAGCAAAGTTCTTTTTCTTCCACGCGTATGCTTACACCACCAACGTTTCGGAACGCCTCCGCTTCCTTCATCGGGCAAAACAAAGCGATTACGTCACTTTTGATACGGCACCTTTCCGAAATTTTTGCCAGTGTGGATTAACTTTTGGCACCTCACGGACAATTTGGGGGTCGGAGTCTTTTTTTTTTTTCTGAGGACATGACAAGCTGCTAAGGTTGCTTTTACTAGAACTTGCATACGCCGCGCCTCTACCTGTACTACGGTGATGACGTGAGCTTTCATGGCGCAGAAATCAAATCGATATTCTCGGTGAGAAAGACTTTTACTTCAGGATATCGCGTGCTGCTGGGCCGAGGTTATCACATGATGTGGAACCAATTGCGGTCGGTTTCGAGGCCGGAGATAACAGTATATAAAACAAACATCCCATGTGTGTCATTCATCCATCATGTATTCTTCTGTCTTGCTATTCATTTCATTTAATAAATGATATTTGGTTACAGAGTTTGGTACTGGAGGCCGATATGAAGAAAAAAAAAGAAGTTATATACATTAGGATCCTTTGTAAAATGTTATCAGTCGAAATTGAATATCATTTTCTCCGATCTCGCAGCTTTTACGTATTTTATTTGGGGGTTAGGACTACATTTTGCTGTATTAAAAGAGAACTATAGGGTGACCTTTTTATCCCATAGTTCTCTTTAGGGTCACAGGAGGACATATACCCTGTTTCCCCGAAAATCAGACCTAGTACTATTTTTGGGAATTGCTAAAATATAAGACCTACCCTGAAAATAAGACCTAGTTGTGACCATTCACAGGGCCGGTGGTGGTTTAAGGGGGAACTTGTAGAGCCGCAAGAGAGAATTAGCGGTGCCAACGAAGCCAGCGCTAGAGGAAGCGAGGCGGCAGCGGAGGGAGCAGAGCCGCATAAGCCGATGCTTCCTCTATAGCGCCGGCTGCTTTCACAGGAGGAGTGATACCAAATGCACTCCGCCTGTGAGGAATCAATAGTGAAAGTGCGCTTCGCTCATTCTGGCCAGCGATTGGTTAGCAAATTGCTCTTGGAAAGGTACGGCACCCCTGATTGCCCTGATCACAATATTTTTGTACATGAATACATGTAGACTATTATACATGAATAAGTGTGGATTGTTGGACATAAAAAAAATAAGACCTAGTGTGTTTTTTTTTGAGCCAAAAACAATATGACAGTGTCTTATTTTCGGGGAAACACAGTACTAACCTCCTCCCGTGACCCAAAGCTCAGTATATAGGGTCACAGGAGGACATATACTAACCTCCTCCCGTCAACCAAAGCTCAGTATATAGGGTCACAGGAGGACATATACTAACCTCCACCCGTCAACCAAAGCTCAGTATATAGGGTCACAGGAGGACATATACTAACCTCCACCCGTCAACCAAAGCTCAGTATATAGGGTCACAGGAGGACATATACAGTAGTACCTCGGTTCACGAACTTACTTCGCTCAACGATTCTGGTCGCCAACCGAATCAAACTGTGATCAGAACGCGATCTCCACTAGAGGAAGACACGCCTACGTGTCAGAGCGGGGAGGATGGCTGCGGAGTTTGTGAAAATTTTGCCTAACTTCCTGTTCGCGAACAGAAGCGTTTGTGAACCGAGGTACCACAGTACCAACCTCCTCCCGTAACCCAATCCTCAGTATATAGCGGGCTATTGCCTGCTATATGCTAAGAGAGCCGCAGCCGGGACAGATCCCGACAATACTGTTGAGATCCACCCAGCTGGTTCTGCCTATCTAGAGCCAGCTGTGCCCGCCTCTCTCACCCGTCCGTTCCTCGTGTCAGTGCTGGAGGAGTAAATCCCTGTCAGGAGTGGTGACTGACAGTCGCCGCTCTCTGCAGGGAGATGGATCAGGAAGTGAGTGAGCGACGGTATGCGTTCCCGATCTATGGAGCCGACGTGTAACAGTCTCCGTGTCACACGTCGGCTCTAACTGATGATGTGTGGAAATCACTAACCTTGTAGTTCTCCTTTAAATCTTCGTTATTCGAAATGTGTTCACGCGCTCCGTGGTCCTGAAGTTTTGTTCTGCATGGGTGAAGCAAATGCTCTGGAAACTATGTTGAGATTGTAAGCTCCTCAGGGGCGGGAACTGATGTAAATAAAGGCCTGTGCAATATGTTGGTGTTGTAGGTATCATGCAGATAATAAATACGATTTCTTTCTAGTTTGCATATCAAATCCTTTCACAGGTCAAGGAGATGACCAAGCTTTATTTATGTATTGAAATACCTGCAATTGCTCTTCATTCACAATACCATGTGGCACCATTGATTGGCTAAAAAAAATAACACAGTACAGTGGAACAAGGAGCTACGAGAGAGATCGGGGTGCGTGGTCATTGGAATTGCATCAACGTTTACCCTGTGGACTCGCTTTATGAGCGGCCCAGTCAGAAGGTGTAACAGGAGCTATACTATATTACCAAAAGTATTGGGCCCCTCCCCCTCCAAATCATTGGATTCGGGTGTTCCGTGACATTTCCCGGCTACTAAATATTCCGTGGTCACCTGTTACTGGTATTATAACAAAGTGGAAGCAACTGGGAACAACAGCAACTCAGCCAGGAAGTGGTAGGCCAAGTAAAATGACAGAGCGGGGTCATGTTACGCACAGTGCGCGGAAGTCGCCAACTGTCTGCAGAGCCAATAGCTACAGACCTCCAAACTCCGTGTGGCCTTCAGATTGGCACAACAGCAGTGCGTAGAGAGCTTCATGGAATGGGTTTCCATGGCTGAGCAGCTGCATCCAAGCCGCACATCACCAAGTGCAATGCAAAGCGTGGGATGCCGCGGTGTAAAGCGCGCCGCCACTGGACTCTAGAGAAGTGGAGACGTGTTCTCTGGAGTGACCAATCACGCTTCTCTGTCTGGCAATCCGATGGGCGTGTCTGGGTCTGGTGGTTGCCAGGAGAACGGTACTTGCCTTACTGCATTGTGCCAAGTGTAAAGTTTGGGGGAGGGGGGGGGGGTTTCAGGGGCTGTGCTTGGCCCCTTAGTTCCAGTGAAGGGAACTCTTAAGGCATCAGCACACCAAGACATTTTGGATAACTTTGTGGGAGGAGTTTAGGGACGGCCCCTTCCTGTTCCAACATGACTGCGCACCAGTGCACAAAGCAAGGCCCATGAAGACATGGATGGGGGAGTTTGGGGGGGAGGAACTTGATTGGCCTGCATGGAGTCCTGACCTCAACCCGATAGAACACCTTTGGGATGAATTAGAGCGGAGAATGCGAGCCCGGCCTTTTCCTCCAACATCAGTACCTGACCTCACAAATGGTCCAACATTCCCATAGACACACTCCTAAACCTTGTGGACGCCTTCCCAGAAGAGTTGAAGCTGTTATAGTGGCAAAGGGCGGAGCCAACTCAATACTGAACCCTATGGACTGAGACTGGGATGCCATTAGTGTTCATGTGCGTGTAAAGGCCGGCGTCCCAATACTTTTGGCAATATAGTGTATATATAATATGTATATATTTCTAAAAGTTCATCTGTGATTCACACTTGTGCCCAACTGCTCTGCTATACAGGTGACCTTTCCTTGGTCTGTTGTAAGCAATGCTTGGCCAACTCCCAGCCTGGTAATCTTTTAATAAAGCGTTGGCAATATACACAGATAAGGTCATGCATGTATCCGCCTCTCCACTCTGCAAGCTGACAGTGTTAGACTGACTGCCTTCATGCGATGCAATAAAACCCTGATTGATACACACAGCGCTGCCCTACCCATTCAACGTTTAGTCTGGCCCCTGGCTTGCAGAAGCAGGAAGTGGATATGAAGTCCGGTGTTTCGCGACGCTGGTTTATGGCTCAGAAGTGTGAAGAGATTACAGCGAAGATTGAAGTCATAGAACACAAACTGATAGACTCCGCATGCAGGTCATACCGGTATCACACACACACTGGTGTATTTTGGTTTTGTGCTTCCCTAGGCAAGACTAAACTGAAGCAAACCCCCCACCCATCCGTTATCTAAAATCCGGCAGCTTCCTGTTTAAGACATTTTGCATAACCTGTCAGTCGCGGGATTCAGCGCGCACGGTGTATCTAGATTCTGACAGGTTGCGCTATCAACGTAGCGTGACGCTCTAGTTCTACCTTTGCAACAGCCGCCTTCTCCATTCCTGGCTTGATGGGCTCCCTAGTTCTGCAGCTACAATACCCATTCTGTCCTGCCGTGCTAGTCTCTAATTCTGCAGCTGCAACACCGATCTTCTGCTTTCATATGCTGGGCCCTCTAATTCTGCAGTTACCGATCTTCTGCCTCGGCCACTGGGCTCTGCAACTTGCCCTGCTCTAGAGACATAACCCTGAATGGAGCTTATAGGCTGCACTTCCCCGGACTCACCACCACGGAGGTGCCGATGAGCACGATGACCATCTGGATCTCAGCCCTGGGGGGTCCCGC